AGAGAGAGAGAGAGAGAGAGAGAGAGAGAGAGAGAGAAATTCTTTAATGTGTTAATGTGTTAATTTGAATTTATGGTGTGAGCGTAGCCTGCTGACTTGGGCTTCTGATATTAATCTTCTTCATTTCCCTTTTACTTATGGCTCCTTTTTCCTTTCCTTATCTTTTAAGAATGTTTCCTTTGGGGCTGGAGAGATCACTCAGTGGTTAAGAGCACTGGCTGTTCTTCCAAAGGAACTGAGTTCAATTCCCAGCACCCACATGGCAACATACAACTGTCTATAACTCCAGTTCTAGGGTACCCAACACCTCATACAGGTATACATGCAGGCAAAAATACCAATGCACATAAATAAAAATTTAAAAAAAGAAAATAAAAAATGTTTCTTTCTTGGTATCATATATTCTCCACTCCACTTTGACAAAGTCTTGCTAAATAGTCCATGTTGGCCTCAAAATTGAGACCTTCCTGCATAGTCTCCTGAGGGGTGGGGCTTGCATATGAGCATGATCACACCTGGTTTTTGTTGTTTTAATTTTAAATGATTTTTTTGTTTGTTTGTTTTTTCAAGATAGGGTTTCTCTGTGTAGTTTTGGTGCCTGTCCTGGATCTCGCTCTGTAGCCCAGGCTGGCCTCAAACTCACAGAGATCCGCCTGGCTTTGCTTCCCCAGTGCTGGGATTAAAGGCATGCGCTACCACTGCCCAGCCTTAAAATATATTTTTATTTATGCGTATGTGTGTATATCTGTGTGTGTGTGTGTGTGTGTGTGTGTGTGTGTGTGTGTGTGCGTGCCATCTGTGTACTGGTGTTCACAGAGACCAGAGGAGAATGTTGGGTCCCCGGATCTGAAAGTTACAGGAAATTGTGACCTGCCTGATGTGGATGCCAGGAACCTAAGTCAGCTTCTCTGGAAGAGCAGCAGTGCTGCGTGCTGAGCCGTCTCTCCAGCTCACATTTTGTGCACATGTGCTCACGAGTGTGCATGTGTGCGTAGATGAGTGTCTTGCCTGCCTGTATGTATGTATTGTACCACATGTGTGTACATGCCTGGTGTGTGTGGAGATCGGAAGAGGGTGTTGGATACCTTGGAACCGGAGTCCTGGATGGTGGTGAGCGACCATGTGAGTTGGGGACCGAATACTATCCTCTGCAAGAGCAGCATATGTTAACTGCTGAGCCAGCTCTCCAGCCCAGCCCACATCATTTTGTTTTATTTTTTATTTTTTGAGAGGAGGGTCTTTTAACTTGCAGTACTTAAAAAAATATGTATTTATGTGTGCATGTGCCATGGCATGCCTGTGGAGGTCAGAGGACAACTTGCAGGAGTCAGTTCTCTCTATTATGTGGGTCCTTGGGTCATCAGATTTGGCTGCTGAGTCCTCTTGCCAGCGTTGGTAGCATGCTGCCTTTTTTATTTTATTTTTTGATAGGGTCTCACTATGTATCTGGGCCACAGAGATATGACAGTCTTTCTCCCAACTGCTGGGATTAAAGGTGTATGCCACCACACCTTCTTCTTTTAATGTGTGGGGTTTTTTTTAATTTATTTATTAAATTTAATTTTACATATCAGCCACGGATTCCCTTGTTCTCCCCCTCCCACCGCCCACCCCATGTGTGGGTTTTTTTTAAAGAGTTTTTATTTTTTGTGTGTGTGTGTGTGTGTGTGTGTGTGTGTGTGTGTGTGTGTGTGTTTTCTTTTGGAGACAGGGTTTCTCTGTGTAGTTTTGGTCCAGTCCTGGATCTCGCTCTGTAGACCAGGCTGGCCTCAAACTCACAGAGATCTGCCTGGCTTTGCCTCCCGAGTGCTGGGATTAAAGGAGTGTGCCACCCCTGCCCAGATATATATGAGTGTTTTGCCTTCACATATACATGTGTACCAGGTGACCTGCGATATTAAGAGGGTGTTGGATCCCCTGGAACTGGGTTGGGGATAATTGTGAGACACCATGTTGGTGCTGGAAACTGAACCCAGGTCCTCTGCAAGAGCAACAAGTGCTCTTAACCACTGAGCATCTCTCCAGCTCCTAGAACATCTATTCTTAAACACAATGCTTTTCTTGTAAAACATCTGTAAGCAGGGGCACTTCTTCTGAACTAGATATAGAGAAGGCAATGTGGGTAACTGGGGGTTTCGGTGTGTCTGCTCTGGCCGTGTGGGTCCTCCCCTGCAGAGTGACAGATGGAGGTCACACAGGAGACTTGGTGTCTCCACATCTGCTGGTTCAGCAGCAGTTCCTGTGTGGGAAGGTCTCATGCAATGTCTGTTCTGACTAGCCAGGCTCCACAGAAACCAGGTGGAAACACAGCCGAAGAGGCAGGAAGTGGGTATGGGGGGGGGGGAGGGGCGGGCTGCATTGCTCACAGCCGCCCTGCTAACCAGGGCTCTGCCTCACAAGAGACCAGTCACACAGAACAAGTCAGAACTAAAAAAAATATTTCATTTCATTCTGAATAAAAAACAGAACAGACAGAACTCTTGTAAATTCTGAAAACAATGTCATTGCTACGGAAAAATTTCACAGAAATCATCAGGGAGCGTGGGGACCAAGGTACCAGCCCTGCCATGAGGGCTGCCTATCTGGAGTCACAGAGGAGGCTTGCTGGGGCCAGCACAGGCGGTAGCAGAGCCTGAATCAGGCTCAGGGTGCAGCTTCTAGCTGCTGCCTCAAAACCCAGTGGCACCGAGAGCTGCCAGGTCTTCAGGATCGCTGTGTGCGGGCACCTTTGCGGCTGCGCGTGGCCCACATGCCCCGCTTCGAGTGGTAGTGGTGGTAAAAGTGCCGCAGCCGAAGCCTCTCCACCTCCAGCCCTGCCTGCAGGACCCTGGGATGGGTGGGTGGGAAGTCAGAGCCCTGGTTCAGGTGCTGTGACTCAGGGCTGCCCAGACACTGTAGGAGCCTGGGGCTGGGGAGGGTTCTTGGGAGAGGGGCAGACGGGAGGGGTTTTGGAGGAAGATGAGATGTCTCAGTCACCTGTCCAGAAGTTCCCAGTCCTCGCCTCCCCACCGGTCACGGAACTCCTCAGTGTTCATGCCTCCTACTCTGTCGAAGTCTGACTTATAGATCCCAAACAGGCCAAATCCATTCACTTCCCAGTAACCTTGGAGCGGGGAGGATGATCATCAGGCCGCGGTCCTTAACATTTTCTCCCCAGGGAAGACTGGAGGACCCCAGGAGGAATTCCAAGAAGCCTCCTTACTTTCGAGTCTCATAAGGGGCTTGGTATTTGATCATAACCCACGAACTCACAGGTCCCCAGAGGAAAGGGTCTTATGAACCCTGCACTTCTGGGTCCTCTTACCCAGGAGGTTAGGCTTGGATTTTGCCCTGGTGGTTGTGAGAACCTGGAATTCCTGGGGAACACTTAGATCCTTACCATGTGGGTTCCACGGTGAACTCCCACAGCCCAGACGCATGACCACAGGGGCGAAGGCCAGCTTGCCCTCCACACAGTGCTTGCGGATGCTGTCCAGGATGTTAGGTGGGAAGTGGATGTGCAGGTCACAGAGGAAAACGATGCTGCTGGGGTCCTGTAGGTTGGGAGGTCTGAGCCCTGCCCACCTCCCCAAGGTGAGATCAGCACCCTCATTTCTCTCCCCTAAGCCCTTGACTGGCCCACAGACCTCTACTGCATCCACTCCGGTTTGCAGGCCTGCAGAGCGTTCGAAGTTTCCAGTTCGTCTCAGGTACTGGTACCTGGGGGAAGGGAAGGAATCACAGGCATCATCAAGGGAGGTAGAGAGGATCAGGACAACCCACCTCCCACAAGAGAAAAGATCTTTGGCCTCACTAGGTGGCGGTGGTGATCATCATTACCGAGGTAGCTGAGCCGCACGCAAGGCCCTTTCCACATCCATGTCCTCGCTCTCAAAGTCCACTAAGATGATGTTGAAGTGCGAGTCTCCCGTATGCACATGCAGCGCTGTCATATCTGCCAGGAACTGCACTACCCAGCGAGCCTGATTCTTCACTGGAAGAGAGGGTGCCACTGAGCCAGCACGACTGAACAGCATGCTTTCTCCTTTGGAAGACCCTCTTCAGCCACCCATACATACCCTTGGCATTAGCATGCCCCCACCACCACGGAGGCGCACATACCTGGCACAATAAAGTGAACCATGACATCCTGACGCCAGGCCAGATGCAAGGGCCGGCAGAGCTCTGGGCGACTGTCTGAGCGGATGGAGGGGGCAGGAGGGGGCTCGGGACTCTCTCCATCCTCGTCCCCGATGCGCGCTCCAGGCAATCGCAGGAAGACATATTCTGACAGGCGCTGGCGGCCGCCTCCGCGCTCTTGCAATTCCAACTCCAGGAGGAAGCGGCTTCCACGTGCAGAGTCGCGGCGCTTCTCCACGTTCACGATGCGCAGAAGCGAGAAGCGCCTGCGAGGCAGGGCTGATTAGCCAAGGGCCGTAATTCCACTTAACGCCCCCACACGCTCCCCCACCTCACCCCCAGAACCACGCAGCTACGCTCCTCAGACTGCATTACACCTGCTACCCGCTCCTTCCATCCCAGAGGCAAGCTGACCTTCCCACATCTCACTTCCCCAGACCAGCAGGAAGTAGGGAAGGCTACACTAGGAGGTGCTGTGAGCCCAGGATTGTCGTGTTCTCTAGATGACTTCCTTTGCCTGATTTTCTTTGTCCTGGGGTGCTGTTTCAGTCCTCTCCTGCTACGGTCAGCTTCCTAGGGAGCCATCAGGAGGGTGTTGGTCCTCCCCTGCCATCCCCCACCTCCAGCAGGCATCTCTATTTTTGCCTCGGGCAAGAGTTCTCAGGCTATTCATTCTGCTTCCTACCTCCTGCTGACAGCTAGTGCTTCTCTATAGGAACCCAGCAGTGTGACTTCAGGTGGGCCCAGACTCACAGGTGTAACTCACCTGCTCCCCTCTCCCCAGGTCAGGAACCTCTGCCCTCACAACCCAACACGCTAGGTTACTCCTTGGGGCTACCCACACCCTAGCACCCAGATGTGAAAAACAAGGTCACGCCTTGACCACTCGAGGTGGACAGTGCCCTAAAGAGACCCTGGGACTGTCCTTACAAACTGCTCTCAGGAAACCTGTCCTCTGAACCACCTGGGACTATCCTGCACCACCAATGGGGGGAGAGTCTTAGGCCACCTCATCACTGCCCTATTTGAGGACTATCATGCTCTTGTCCTCTGGAATAGCCGGACAACCCCTACCTGTCCAAAACTTCCTGTTGAGCCTGGCTCTTTCTATCCATGAGCTAGACACCCTGTCTTGATGTCCCTGTGTTCATCGAGGTCCACAGAAGGTTCTACCTTTCCTCAAGGCTGACAATATACAGAACAGACTCTCATAAGAATTCCCTCAAAGATAAATTATGGCCCTAATCTCCCTAAAAATGGGGTAGAAACAGCTTGGATTCCTAAGACCTAGGAGGCCAAGGGGGCCAGTGGGCAGGGGCCCTGGGGTCTCCCCCTTGAGTTAGAGTCCCCCAGACCCTTCAGTGTTCTACAAGGAGATGTTTGGTGGTCCTGACCTTGACCCTTCAGTGTCTCTTGTCCCTGAAAAGGCTGTCTGCCCTTGACCTGGCTAATCCTGACAACTGTTCCCTGTAGTCTGGATTCAACCTAGAGTCTAGGTCCAAGGTGATGGATTTGGAACTTGGCAGTGAAGGGGTATGGAGCCAGTCTTGAGTGGGGCTCCAGGGAGCCCTTCAGCCTGGGCAAGGCAGAACAGTAAGACACTCATCACTGCAGAGGGAAAAGGGGATCAGAGAGCCGGTGAGAGCCAAGGAAGGCCTGAGATTCCTGTGGGGACAGCATGCCCTCGCTCCAAGCAGCAACCTGCCCCATACCCGCCATGGCGTGCATTAAGTCGCTCCATGTACTGAGCCACCACATCCACCGCCTCAGCCTCAGGAAGCTGCAGGTTCCCAGATACGTTGCATCGCAGGTCATTCCAGTCAGAGCGCAGCAGCTCAAAGTCCATGGCACCCACGCTGAATGTGCGCTGCCAGTCAATGGCGTCCTCCCGCCAGCGGCCCAGCGGCCGCCCAGCGGCCTGCTCCTCCTCTTCCTCACTATCTTCTGATGTGGCCTCATCACCAGGGGCCCCGTCATCCTCCCCTTCTTCACCCTCTCCAGGCAGCTGTGGCCTGGACACCTGAGACAAGCTCAGGAAGGAGGTCACAGGCTGTGTTTCCACTGAGGAGTTCAAGTCCACCGTGGGCACCATGAGTCCCTGTCCATGCAACTTGCCCTCCTGGGTGGTCTGTGCCCTGACTGGGGGCTTTAGTTCTGTGATCTTGGGGCCACTGGTCCTATAGCCCTGGGTCCGCGGTGGATGTGGGGGCATCCGCAGCTGCACTCTGGGCAGAGGTTTGGGACGTAGGAAGACGCCAGGGAAGGGCGGCCAGGGTGAGTCTCTCAGTGCCTTTGGGGAAGCCCGCTGCCCAGGTCGCACCCTGGTCACATACACCTTTGAGGGAGACTTCTCCACAGTTCGGGGAGGTGGAGCTCTCCCCAAGAAGAGGGGCAGGGGACGTGGGGCCCAGTTTAGGGCCCGGGAGTGTCTGGGGGTCTGCTCATCCAGAGGACTGGTTGTAGGTGGGGTAGGGGTGGCTGTAGTCCCAGTGGAGGCTGTTGGGGTGGGGGTCCTGTGGCTCTGCCGTAGGGATGCATCCGAGGGCTCCAGACTGTCTAACAGTTCCTGCTCATCCTCATCATCCAGGAAGTCTGCAGAGAGTGTCTGGTAAGCGAGTATCTGGCAGATGGGCTGGGTGGACAGCAGGAATAGGGCACTCACCATCTGGGTTGAGGAAGAGGAAGGCTCTACGCTGAACTTCCTCCTCCTCGTCTTCCTCCTTGTCCATCTTCATGTATTTATAGAACCCAAACCTGGAGGAGAAAGGGCATCAGAGACCTTCCTCCCGGAGGCCCCTCCTCCTCATTCAGACGGGACAAACCCCCGCCCCAAGCTACCTTTCCAGGTATAGTGGGGACTCGCGGTAGAAGCATTTGTTCTCTGTCTCCATGTGAGTGAGACGGGTGTGGTCATTGGGATAGATGAAGGACAGGTACACCTGCAGGTAGGGCCAAGAGCTCAGGGGTAGGGCTTGGGGGAAAGGGTTGCCTTAGGAAGCCTCTCCCACTGGGCACTTACAAACTGTAGTCCTTGGTATCTGGCTATGGGAAAATCCTTGAGGACATAGGTAGGCGCATAGGCACAGGGCTCCAGCACATTCTCCAGGCTCAGGGGTTCCATCCGAGGGGCTGTAAGAGGAGGTCAGTCAGTCACTTGGTGGCCTGGGCTTCACCCCACTCCACCCTCCTCTGGAGCCTCCTCTCACTGAGGAAGAAGGTGTCCCTGGGATCTGGCCGCAGCATGTCGGCACTGGGTTCCTCGTGTGCTGGGTATCCCCCGACATAGCTGGCGGGAGACTGAGGCACATGGGTCACATGGTCCATCTTCAGAGATGACTCATCTGAGAGTAGAAGGATGTCTGGAGCTTCGGCCTACCCTTCACCATCCCCATGCTGAGCCCATCAGAACCCAGCCATTCCCCTGAGGAAGGACCCAGCCCGCACCTGTGTACAGGGAAATGTGAGCAGAGCCAATGATCTCGAACTTCAGACCAGGCAGGAAAGCTCGCCACTGGGGGTGTGGGGATAGGAAAGAGGTTGGGTCGTGGTAGGTGGTTTTCCTTAGTTCGGGGGTGAGGGACTAGAGAGCAAAAATCCTCAAAGGATGTAAGAAGCTTGGTGGGTAGAGAGGAGGGAGGGAGGGCCAATCTGATAGAAGGCCCAAAAGGTTGAGGGGTTCAAGGGACAGATCCAGACCCCATCCAACTTCATTCCCCCTCCCCCTTTCCTCCAAGGACTGCCGGTTATAACTTATTATCCCATTTTCTCTCTGGCTTTGCATGTTGCCTTCCTGAGGTCTCTGCGGAACTCTTCCTCAGCCCCAGACCTAGGATCTACCGCCAGATGGCTTCCCCATAGCCCAGCTCCATGGCTGTTCCTGAGTCTCCCTGCAGATGTGTTCCTCTGTGAATCTGGGGCTCCTGGGGGGCTGACTATGCACTTCCGTTGCCAGCTTGTCCTAGACCTTTGTACCAATACCTCTGCTTCCCTAGGACCATCAAAACCCTGAGTCTCTACTCTACTGAGGTAGATATGTAATATCCCATGGTGCCGAGGCTGAGAACCCCCACTGCTACTGAGGTCACTGTACCTCATCCTCCGGGCTCTTCCTTCTTGCTGAGGAACCCTTCTCCCTACCTCCCAGCTACATGCCTGTCTTCCCTGTGATGGCTGATACTGATTTTCAACCTGACAGGATCTAAAATCACTGGAGGCAAACTCTGGGCATGTCGGTGAGGGATTATCTAGATGAGGTTAATTGGGGGAGAAGACCTACCCTAAAATGTGGGCAGTACCATTCCATGGACTGTGGTCCAAAACTGAATAGAAAGGAGAAAGTGAGCTGAGTACCAGCGTTCATCTCTCTCTGTTCCAGACTGCAGATGCCATCTAAGCAGCTACCTCACACTCCTGCCAGGACTCCCCCTCCGTCATGGGCTGCACCCTCAAACTGTGAGCTAAAACAAACCCTTCCTTAAGTTGCTTCTTGTCAGGTACTTTGTTACAGTGATAATCATGGCAATACAAAGATAACAATACACTTTCCAATGTCCTACTTCTCGGCTTCCCATTGTTCCACAGAGGCCAGAAGGATTCCTGGCAGGCAAACCTCATTGCCCCTCTCACACGACAGTCTGAGAAGTTCAGTGCAGCATTACAGCTCAGGCCTGGCCTGGCTACCAGACTTCTTAGAGTCTCAGAAGATGCTAGAAGATGGGGGCCAGTTCTCCGGGTATAGCATTTACATGCTGTGCTTCCTGCTTGTACACTCTCTCCCCCACGTCTCCTGGTGAAGGGCCACTTTTCAGTGCAGCCACTCTGAGCATCCAGCAGGCACAACGTGCCCTCTTGACCCTGGCCCATGTCCCTGAATATCTGCTTTATTTCCTAGACTGGGAATCCCTTTGGGTTGTGGACCACCCTGCAGTGCCTATCCATTAAGGACATGGGAAGTGGATGGGAAGAGAGCTGTGGTCTTTGGAGCTCCTCCAGAGGGCTGGCCACACTCACACCCACTTCCACATGGTCTGAGCCCTTGTCGTCTTGCTTGTGAAGCAGTTCGAAGTAGTATCTCCGGGAGGCCATGAGCCTGTGGACATAAGAAGTCGGGGTTGTCTCCCACCAAACAGATGAAGAGCCCGGAGAGTGAAGAAAGACTCTCACATCCCTCTGGGATGGTCCCTCAGGAGGATGATGCTTGTGTAATATGGGCAAGGGTGACACCCAGCCTCCCTCTCACATGCCAACACATATGAGCGTGCGCGCGCGCGCGTGCGCGCGCACGCGCACACACACACACACACACACACACACACACACACACACACACACACACACACACACGATGCATGCACCCTCACTCACCGCCGCGGCTTAGACACCTGGGAACTGAACTTGGTGAATTCTCCAGGTGCTGTCCACTCAGAGCCAGTCTAGAGGTGACACAAGGAAGGGGCAGAAGAGTGATCACATTTTCCTTGTGGGCATCTGACACATTCAGTCTGTATTTTGAAGAGGCTGGAGGAGGCCCAGTGAAGACAGATATGGTGCAGATAGAGCGAGGTAAGAGGGCAGAACCTACCTTGCCCACAAAGGCTACAAGCTGGGCAGCTGCTGGGCTCTCGTCCAAGCTCAGCCAGAACTCAGAGTTGTCATCCGAAGCCACAGAGAACTGGATGTCTCCTAGTCCACAGGACAGAGGCGCAGTAAGCTGGACTGTTCGAGGCATCTTGCCCCTGGCATACCCCACCTACTCACCATCTCTGGCTGGGTGGATGAAGCCAAAAATCCGGAGTCCATAGTTCTTCCACTTAGGGGACACGGCTAACTTTGTCACAGTGGTGCGAGTCTGCCGGTAGGGCAACAACCATTGACTCACAGCTCATCACATGCCGTGCCCACTCTGCCCACCCATCCTTTCCTGGGGTACTCACATGAGGAAAGAGCGGGAAGTGCAGGTTCCTTCTCAGGTGGCCCACAGCACCCCCACACCAGTCCTCAAATACGTGCAGGTTCACCTGTCCCTTGAACTAGGGGCCAGAGGGGACTTGAGCTGTTATACAGCCTGCTTCACCCCTCCTCCCAGCCCCGTCCAGCCCAGCCCCACCCAACCCAACAGAGCTCACCTCTTCCCGCCACGGAGGTGTCTGGTGAGTGAGGTTCAGTGGTGGTGGCTTCCTAGCTCCTCCAGGAAACAGCATGTTTGGAACCCGCCCCTCAGACTGCAGGAAAGGGTAGCCATGTTAGCGTTCTAAAGGCAGGAAGTGTCACAACTGCACAGTCCATCTAGGTGTACACACACACACACATACACACACACACACACAGCAAAGCAGAGCTTCATGGTCCCCCTTTTGCACATCACCTAAGTACTCTCCACATAGCAAGCTTGCCCAGGCAAGTGTATGATGCACTGACAGGATGCACAACATAAGCAGATCATCGACTGCTACCCAGACACAGCATCCAGGCTGGGATGCTGAAGCTCACATACAGCCCACGGCTCTAGCTATCCATCCAAGACAGTGGCCTCTTGTGCACAGTTTTTTCCTGGTCACTGCTTACCACCTGCTCCTCTTCATGACTTTCACTGGAGTCCTCTGCCCTCTGCGTGGACGATACCACTCGGACACCCCTGCTGTCTGTCACACCAGTCAGCTTCTCACTATCTGCAGAGAGCATGTGAAGTGTGTCAGGTCCCAGACTCTCTCTAAGGTCAACATCTTTGTTGTTGGCAGGGGTGGGGGGCAGGAAGAGTTGCTGAAGCTCCTGCTCCTTCATTTTGGGGCCCTTCTAGAACCCACCTAGAGTGGGAAGTGCAAAGCAAGAGTCCCTCACCAGCTCTTCTCCAGTCCTGGATGACAGCTGGAAGCAGGACTATACACACACTCAGGGAACTGTGAAACTACACACGCTCACCCCATCTGGTGATCTTCTGAAGGGCTTTGCCTTGGAAAGAACTGCAGATGACCTACCACCCTCGATGCCTTGCCCATGTGCTAGGGTGCCTGCCTCCTGCCTCTCCCCAGATCTATATGAAGACATGTCCACAACTGCCCCTCCAGTTTGGGGTAGAACACCCCTGTACCTTGCTTCGTCCCACTTCCTGGACCTTCTCTCTAAGCTTCAAGCCCACATCATTTCTAGGTGTCCACTCTTCTGGACTTGAGTCTTCAAAGACAGGAAGTTTCACTTCATTGCAGTCTTGTCTTTCCTGGTGCTCCCAGGGAGAGATACTGGATCCAGGAACCCTTCCTGTTTCAAACTAGGCTTTGCATCCACATCGGCTCCTCAGTGCAGAGCTCAGAAGCTAGGCTCTTGTTCAGGTACACGGCCTGAACAGTCTCTAGGTGAGGGGTTGCCTGTGGTCTCCTCTCTTGAAATTCCTGTGGTACCTCTCACTTGCTCCACATTCTCGATCCTTTCCTGAACAACTGAGACTCGCTTGGTCCAATTCCCAGAGCCTGGCCTGGATAGCCTGGTCAGGATACCCACAGGCCATCAAGCTATGTCCAGGCATCTGGCCTACGGGAGCCTTCCGTAGTGGGGTTTCAGCCCAGGCCACTATCACCATCTTGCAGGAGCTAAGCCTCAGCACAGAGGGTGTGCAGACAGGCTTCTGCCCCAATCCCACTTGGAGAAATCTGGAGGCACAGGCTGCTGGACACCCACTGAATGTTGCCTGCACTGAAGACTGACTACATGATCAGGAAAGCCTTGGACACATGCAGCTGCTCAGCTTCTCACAAGCCGTGTAGTGCCTGGTGGGATCCCAGGTGGCCAGACAAGAGCTGGGGCTCCAGCCCAGAGTAAAGCCCATGTGGTCGGGACCCCATCTGTGCAGCCTAGGCTGCTTCTAGCAGTGCCACTGGGCAGCACTGGTCTTCCAGGAGCCAGGAGAGATCCTACCCACCTAGGAGGAATCAGAGCTAGCTGCCCTAATGATCCAACCTTCAGCAGTGGGTCTCCCTGTCTTCACCCCTTCCTGGTTGGTCTCAGGATCACATTGCTCAGGAAGTAAGCCGGGAGGAAGGGAGGCCCGTGGCTGTTGAGAAACCCACAGGGGGAGCTGATAGCGGCTGGGTTTATTGGGTACTAGGGCAGCTCTGGGTCCAGACCTATCAGCTCACAGCTGAGACAAGGCTTCTCTTAGGGACAGATAGAGATGTGCCAGGGTATCTTGAAGATGTCACCGTTATAAGGTACACGGACTGGGATGACCCATAGACTTTCTTTGGGGCTGGGATCTGTCTCAGATCCTTGGCCCAGGATCTGGTGGAAGATGAATGGAAACAGGTGTCCAGGTGCATGCGGAGGCAAAGGAACTTCTGCAGGTTAGAGACAGGAGCAGGGCTGAACAGGGAGTCTGGGATCCATCGGGTGGAGTGGACCAGGATGTCACAGGTCAGTGTCACTGCTCTGAGTCTTTCAGAGGACAGACACTTGCTACCTTCTTCCTTGTATCCTCAGCTCACCAGCCTCCTTCACAAGGATCAGAGACTGCCTGGCTGGGCTCTATCCAGCTTGGTCGGGCTCCTCAGATCCATTCCCTGGTCTTTTTCTACCTAGCTGTTATTGACGCCCGCCCTGCTCTGGAACTTTCCCACAGAAGTGTGGGTCAATGGCCACCATCTCCAGAGGTTCTCCCCTGCTTCTAGCCCACGGGGCTCGCCAGGCCTGAGTTGCTTTGTACATCCTCTACCCACTCTTACTTAAATGTGCAGACTACAAGCATCTACTCAAGTTCGCACTGGTCCCTAGCACATAGGCATCTCAGTCCACAGTCACAGGTGTACCCAGGGGTTCCAACTGTGTTGGCCACTCTAGGCAGCTGGATCCCTCAACGCCACCCTTTCCCCCCCACTCCCAGCAGACAAGGAAACTGAGGCCCTGCTAAGTAGGCAAGGGCCTGCCAGGCCTCTTGGCTAAAGGCACGGGTGCCCACAATAGCCCACCGTTAACTCCATCACCACTGGGTCTAAGCCAGATTCCAGGGTCAGAAAAGGTTAGGGATGCGCCCCAAGAGGGTCCCCGGCGTTACTGCTGACGTCATCGGGAGTCCCGCCGAACAGAGCCGCGACCCCTCCCCCAATATAGCGGAGCTGGGAGGAGCACGGCAGCAGGGGCTCTCTGGGCAGTCAGACCCCCGCGCCTTGGGAGGCCCGGGCCCTCACGCCGCGCGCCCTCGCGTACCTCGCCCGTAGCCCAGCCGCTGGCGCAGCGCGCGGCCCGGGCGCACCAGGCTCCGGTGCACGTACGTGAGCCACGCGGCGCAGGTGAGCAGCAGCAACAGCAGCAGCAGCTTCATCTGCTTGCGGACCTTCTTCACCGGGAACCACGGCATCGCGACGCCACACTCAGAGGCGTCGCTGCGGCCCCCCGGCCCCGCCTGCCCCGCCCCACATCCCCCGGCCCACCCTGCTGCGCTCAGCGCCTGCAGCCTCGCATGGCCCTTTGTCCGCTGCCGGGGCTACGGGATTCGGTCGCGACGCCCGGGCTGCTCGGGCCGCGGTCGGGGTGGGCGGTGGGAGCGGCTCTTCGAGGCGCTCCCCCGCCCGCCCCTCCCGGCTGCTTAAGCTCCTCCGGCCGCCGCGGGACCGAGCAGCATCCACGCTGCGGTGCTACCCACCGTGAAACGGGACCGGCGGCCGCGTGGCTAGAGCCAATCGGCCGCGGCCAGCCTGCGCACAACCAATCCGTGATGCTCGGAGGCGGGGCGGCGCGTTAGGGTGTGCCAGTGGTCCTCACGACGCGCGCACTTACCTGCTCTGCGCCGGCCGCGCGCCCGGGGATGCGGGGGTTGCGGGTACCGAATCCGCGGTGAGGGACACCAGGGACGTTCAGGGAGAGGGATGTAAGAGATCTCTGTCACTGTGGAGGCCGTGGCCGGGGTGAGGGGTGCTGCGGGAAGACGGCTATGCGTCTGGGAAAACCTTGGGGAGATAATGAGCACGCAGAGAAAGCTTGTGGACCAAAGAGGAGCTCAGCTTAGGTCTCAGTCGGACTTGAATTAGGCTGGGATGTTCTAGTTCGTTTAGCTGTGATGGAGGACAGGTGGGTGGAGGGTGGTTCTGTCGAGATTGCTTCAGTTGTGCACGCTGTTTGCTTTCTTGCTGGCGCATCTAAACCCTCCGGACTACCACCTCTCTTCCACCTTGCCACCAGTCGGTTCTTCTTGAGGTTCCAGCCTATTGACCACGGTACTTCAGTTGGTGTAGCAGAAGCTGCTGTGAGCCTGCAGAACTCGTGGGTTAGGAATGTGGACTGGGCATTTGAATAGTCTCTCCTCCTCCCTGATGTCATGGCCTTAAGTGGAAAGATGCCATCCGGCACGGGGTGGAATCACTCAGAGACCTTCTCACCCTGGAGTGGTTGTGCCCCAGCGGAGATGACTGGGCACCTTCCCGTGCCTGTTCTAAGGGGTGGCCTCCAGCTCAGCAGTGGAGCTACCTCACACCACATGCATCACTTCAACCCACTGGTCCCGTTTGGGAGGCTGCTTTGCTCTTTTCTTTGTCTTTCTTTTTTGTTGTTGTTGTTTTTGGTTTTGTTTTGTTTTGAGACAGGGTCTCCCTATGTTGCCTTTGCTGGCCTGGAGCTCTTAGACATCCGTCTGCCTCCTGAGTGCTGGGATTAAAGGCGTGGGTCATCATGCTTGCCTGGCTTGTCTTTTGTTTTAACATTGCCCTACCATCACTGTGTATATATATCCTTGGGACATAAAAACAAATTGGCTACATTTCTATCCTTACAAAGTGGTTTTTTAAAAAACCATCAGCTGCTGTTCTCATCAGCTCACCCCTTATTCTGATTTGTTTCTGTTGCCTGCACATATGTATGTCCTAAACATTGTCTCAATATTCTGATTTGTTTCTGTTGCCTGCACCTATATATCCTAAACATTGTCTCAAACAGCGGTCTGTTTCACACACATGCACACACCCCTTCCACGTCACATGTTGTAGCTGCTTTTGTATCTTCATAGTCATTCAGCTAAGAGACATTACTCAGTATTTTACAGCTGGAAGACTAGTAACAAGAGATAAGATCTCTGCTTCCGTAGATGGAAGCATGTTGTACTGGGCAGACACAAAATAAGCAACGCTTTAAAGAAAACAGATGTTGGGAAGCAGGTACTGGCAAAGAAGTGTGTGGAACCCTTTGTTGGTCCCCAGCTAGGGAATTTCCTCTGTTCATCTGGAATCCAGCAAGTAGGGTAAAGGGTGGTGGCAGAGCAATTGAGTAGGCAATCTTTGACCAGCTAGCCAGCTGTTCCTCTTGCTAACACACCTCGCTATGACCACATCTCACCCCAACCATGGAGGGAAGTGTTCCAGTCTAACCAAGCTGACAAAAAGACAATAGCCCTCCTGATGAAAGAGTGCATGAACTCTTAAAAAAACAAAAAACTGTTTACTTAAAAAGTTTTTTATTGTTTTATGTGTATGGGTGTTTTGCCTGTGTGCACACCTGGTGCCCACAGAGGCCAGAAAAGGGTGTTGAATCTCCTGGTTGACTGCCAGGAGATTAGCGGCCATGTGAGTGCTGGGAACTCAGCCTGAGTCATCTGCAGAGCAACCAGTGCTCTTAACTGCCCTGCCATCTCTCCAGCTCCTACAACTGTGTTGAACCAAAGCAAAACCACAGTTAAACTCTCCTAACCCAAATCGGCTGCTTCGCCAGAGGATGCAAAGTTCACCTTTGGGTGCTATTCATTCCTGTCATGCACCCTGAGTCATACTCCCTGAGCACATCCAAGAGGTAAATGCTACAAACAGAAACACATTAGCCACTGTGAATACATGCGTTAGATGGGAGGGGAACCGGAGAAGGAAGAAGGAGGCAAAGGAGTTGGTCACCAGAGGGTGAGGGAGAGCACTTACCATTCAGTCACGGGCTGTAGTGGCACCGACAGCTGCCTTTTTAGATGGGGCATCCTGATACCTTTGCCCTCAGAAAAGGCTGAGCTTCTTCCCCTGGTATGGGGGAAACCTAAGCCTGCGTTCCCAAAAGGTCTGTGCTTTCAACAGTTTTGTTTGTACACGATGGAGCTGGTTTTCTGTAGTTGTTTCCTGTGGGACTTGCAGGTGCTAAGGGATACCCTCAAGACATCCCTGCCTTCTGAATCTCTCATCTTGTCTATAACATGGCCCTGATCTCCTCTTGACAGGACCTAGCATCCTGGACAACACACAGACCCTTCTCTCTATAGATCTCCTCCACGACAGCCTTTTGTACGATATGTCCCCTGGTAGAACACTCTTGCATTTGCCCAGGACTGAAAGGGGCTCAAAAGACCAAGTACTTTTAACTTTAACCCCAGGGGAGTCTTGGATGAACCAAGATGAATTACTTGGTCCCTTGGGATCTGAGATCGCTAGACAAGTAGAGCCAAAGTTGTAGGGACAGGAAACAAGGTCATTACACTACTTCTTCTCCTGACCCCTGGACCCTTGGTGAGCTGTATCGTGGGCATTGATCCAGAGCATCAGGCCTATCCTGGGTACATCCCAGCCCCACAGTGTGGCCACTGTGCTGGCACCAAAACAGCTTTTAGGAGCCATTTTACTGTTCAATGGGAACATGGCCAGACAGTGAGTTCTCTGGAGAGACTTATGCTGTGTGGAGTAGGTCTTCCTCTGAGTCCATAAATTGCCATTTGGGCAGAAGCCCTTAGGCTGCCAGGGAGGGTGCATCCACAACCAGAGTAAGCACCTATCCCAGGGAGAGCAAAGCTCTGCCCGCTTCAGGATGGAAGGGTTGCTGCCATTCTCTGCTCTGGCAGCTGGGCACTCAGCAGTAGCCATAACTGAATGAGCCTGTGATGGGAAATCCAGGTTCTGGTGTGTATTCGTTTGCTTCTCTGTTCCTGTGATAAAACATTCTGACAGAAAGCAGCTATGGGAGCAAGGGATTTATTTCAATTGACAGATTACAGTCTATCATTAAGGAAAGCAAGGGCAGGCCCTTAAACAGGAATCTAGAAGCAGGAACTGAAGCAGAGAGCATGGAGGAACACTGCTTACCAGCTTACTTTTCTTATCCAGTCCAGGCCCACCTTGCCTAAGGATAGCACCACCCACAGTGGGCTGGGCCTTCCTGCATCAATCAGCAATTAAGAAAATGCCCTACAGACAGGCCCACAAGTCAGTTCATCAGTTGAGGGTCCCTCTTTCCAGGTGACTCCAGTTTGTGTTAAGTTGAAAAAAATTAACCAGCACATGAGGTTATGTCTAACGTGTATTCGTGTTGCCACAGTGCTTGTTTTTTTTTTCTCCCCCTCCTGGATAAGAGCAGCGTGCTGGGGCTGGGGGAGAAGTGATAATTCCACAGATGGGCTGTCCCATCCACGTTCTTCTCAGCATCTCCTGTCTCCTTGGCTGAAGTGGTGCTTGGGTCAGTGTTTACATGGGACAGCCTCCCACTGAGACATTGGTATGGATAGCTTCAGAGGGACTTAACAGTGTGGTCTGCTTGCTGGAGTTGCCTACTTGGACCTCCAGGGCTTCCTTGAGGCAGCACTATATATCACATTTCATTAGTGAGGGACACTACCATAAACTCCACTCCAGGGTTTAGTGGGTCAGATGTTCTAACAGTGGCTTAGGAGAGATGCTCAGTATCTAGGGCGCCAGTTGGAACCAGAATAGTTCTATTCTGGTGAGGGCAGCACTTTGCCAAATGCAATAATCATCTGAAGGGCGAGCTAGAGGCTCCACTGGGTTAGTCTGTTGACAGCCTGGACTTATTGTCCCTCGCTCCGACTAAAAGTTTTGTTTATTTTTAGTTTATGTGTATGAGTGTTTGCCTGCATGTATGTATATGTACCACTTGCCTGCAGTACCCTCTGCAGCCAGAAGAGTGCATTGCAGTCTGTTTGAACTGGAGTTACAGATGGTTGTGAGCCACCAGGTGGGTACTGGGAATTAAACCCTGGTCCTGTGTAAGAGCAGTAAGTGCTCATAACTGTGGAGCCTTCTCTTGTTTTGGGTTATTCAGTTAGGGGGGTTGTTGTTGGTTGTTTTTGCTTTTTTTGGGGGGGGGGCCCACAACCTGCTTCCAAATAAATCACACACAGAGGCTTATTCTTAATTTCAAATGCCCAGCCTTAGTTTGACTTGTTTCTTGCCAGCTTTCCTTAGCTTAAATTATCCCATCTACCTTTTGCCTTTGGACTTTTCCCATTCTCTTATTTCTGTAAATCTTACTCTTATTCTGGGGCTTGCTGTGTAACTGGGTGGCTGGCCCCTGATGGGGGGCTGGCTGCTTCTCCTCCCAGAGCTCTCCTTCTATATATTATCTCTGCCTGCCAGCCGGGCCTATCCTTTCTCCTTCTTTGCTATTGGCCATTCAGTTCTTGATTAGACCATCAGGTGTTTTAGACAGGCAAACTGTCATACCCTCACAGAATTAAATAAATGCAACATAAACAAAAGTAACACACCTTAAAATAATATTCCCCGACAGGGAGTTGCAGTGAGCACCCCATCATGAGCGACTGACATCCGAGCCAATAAACTTCAAATTCAACTGAGCCCTTTGCAAAAGACCATCCCAGTTGGGCTTATTGACAGTTTGTACCCCCTTACAGAGGGGTGGAGAGAGTCATGAGACTCTCATTTGAGTATCCAGCTCTTCTCT